GGGAGAGTCAGCGTCTCCCCCCCCCCTGGCTGCTCCCCACCTGGCTCCCATGGCGGCTCCTGCCTCTGACTGCTCTCCCAGGCGGAGGCTGCGGTCTCCCTCTGCGACCTGGGCACATCCAAACCAGGTCAACAGACCTCAGCTCTGCACTAGGTCTGGAGTCTCCCAGGGCAGGGGCCACTTCTGTCACCGATGAGCCGACCACCCAGACGGCCGTCAAGGAGACCCGCACACACGGCCTGCCCAGTGGCCCCCTTCCAGCCTGACCTTCCTTCCTCACCTCTTCACCCAGCTAAACCCCCTTGTCCCCCCAGGAAATGATCTTTCTTCTCTTGGGTATGGAGATGAACCATGTTCACCTGGACTCTCTGGGAGCGCAGGGGCAGGGTGAGGGTGGTCTGGTTTATGGCTGTGTCCTTGCCCCAGGCAGACGGTCTGGCACATGGGAGGTGCAAATAGCTGAGACTTGACGATGTGCATAAATGTGCTTCCCCTCACCCATTCGTTCCAGGAGGCAGTTAGGGACACCCCGTCTATCTTGCAGTGTGATCTGTGACTCTCCTAACTTCACGTCACAGTGGAATTGGGAACGCCCGTTACTCAGTGTGGTAATTAAACACAGACCCTGCAGCCAGGCTGCCCGGAGCAGATTATGGTCACCAGCTCTTCAGCCTTCTGGAAGTTTCTCATCACCCTCCTCCAAACCCTTCTCTGACTATGACAGGGCTGGTGAGCAGGTCTCCATGGGTGACCACGGCCAGTGCTGAGCGCTCTGCCTGCCAGATGCCCTGACCCCTGTGCTGGCTTTCCTTTGCCTTCCTGCTATTGCCCCGCCCCGAGCATCTTCCACACACCAGGCACACACTAAAGTCAGAGACTCCATAACAAATCCGACACAGTACACTGAAAGGATGTTTTCTCCTCAAAAGCACATGTGTTCTTGTACCTCTCAGGGTCTTCACACATGTTGTTATAAACATCTGGGATCTCGTTCCTTCTTTCAGCTCGCTGCTCACACGGCCCCTCCTCCAGGAAGCCTTCCCTTATCCATTCCCTGCCCTCTGAGCTAGTCAATACCCTCTGTGCCAAAGTAGATCACAGAACTTTCTTACTGCACTGAAGTCATCTTGTCTGCCCCTGCCTCTCTGCTCCTCTGGACTGAGTTCTCTAAGGTCCCCCCAAGTCCCCCAGAAGTATGCACTGGGAGAAGGATGACTGAACACACGGAGGAAAGGCACAAGCACAGCACAGCCCACGCTGAAGATGGCAGCTGGGCTTCACTGGAGGGAATCAAGCAGAAGCCCAAGGACCGTTACAGAGAAGCTCCATGGAAGGAGCCTGGGCACCAGGTTAGGGCTGGGCTAGAGCCTTTGCAAGGCTCCTCCACCCTGACCATCTATGGATGTTCTGTGTCTACCAGGGTGCTTTCCAGCTGGCCACAGACGACGAGAGCACTGCTCCCCAGGCTCTCCCCTGTGCTGAAGCCCAGCTACTCACTTTCCAGCTGCTTCTCCAGCTCTTCTTGAATGAGCCGCCTCAGGGTGTCCATCGAGGGAGACTCTCCCTGGGAGGGAGGGAAAGTGGAATCATTTATCTTCTCCAAAAGACCGCTGATGGCTCGAGAAGCTGAGGGGGTGTGGGGAAGGGACACAAGGACAGCACCTCTCCCTCGCCATCTTTGCCACCTCACCGTCCCTTCTCCTCTTTCTGTAGGAAGCATCATCCCCTTTTACTGGGTGACCTGGACTCTGAGTTCCCCAAGCCACTGCTGACATTCCCTCCTTACCCTTCCTGCTGTTTCACTGCTGGACCTTGGGCTCCCCCACATGCCCTGCCTGTCCCTGGACCTGGGAGGTCTGGCCCCTAATCCTGCCTTGCCCAAATCCTGTCCACCTCTCGGACGCTGTCTTCTACATGAGGCCATATTGGATTTCCCTGAATGGCCACTGGCCCTGCTAAGTCCCAGGATCTGCCTGGCTAAGCCCCAGTGCTTGGTACATGGAAGCCAGAGAAATGGAGCTGCCTCTGAGCTCACACAGTGGCATGCGGTCCGTCGGAGAGCCTGGGAGCCCGCCCTATGCCCTGCTGGCCTGCCCTTGCCTGTCCTCTTTCCAGGCAGGCTCTGTCCCCAAGAGCACAGGTCCTGCTGTGCCCCCATGCAGCCCTAGCAGCTGGCAAGGCCTGGCATGGGGTAGATTCTCTTTCCTTACCTGCTTTTTCCTTTCTGGCCAAGCATCTTTCATGCAAGTCCCAGAATCCCCGTCACCACCCACAGCAGCAGGGCCAGGAGGACCCAGGGGCTCCAGGACGGCCAATAGAACCAGCTGAGCCTGGCTGTCCCCGGCTTGACCCAGAGACAGGTTCTGGCTGCCTGGCCTCTCTCAGGGTGGCTGGAAACAAGGTTGAGCACAGCCACCAAACAGCAACAGAGCTGAGGGGCAGATGAGACTTAATTTGGTACAGAGGGCTGGCGGGGACAGGAGCCACCCACGCCTGTGCTCTGAGGACGGAGCATATGTGCTGCAGAGAGGGTGGGCACCTGGACCGACACCCAGTCCGCACCCAGACTCCCACTGGGACAGCTCTGCTTTTATCTCGTAGCAGGGCATCCCCGTGTCACCCGGCTGGGCAAATCCAAGTTCTGCTGCTAGGATAAAATACGCTAAAAGAAAGAAAAAACACTAGTCTACTCTCACATTGGGGAAAAGTGAGGTCCAGGGGAAGGACGAACCCCGCAGGTGGGCGGGTAGCAGGACAGCATGGCCAGGCGTCAGTGTGCACCATCCTGCAGGGGAGTTCGGGTCACGAGTCACCTTTGTCACCAGGTCCTGGGGCAGAAGAGCTCTATAGCCCAGGAAACAAAGCCCTGAAGACTCTCTACTGCTGAGCCAGAGGGGAGAACAGAAGAGGGCCCGTGTTTCTGAGTGCCTTTAAAGCCATGTTTATTACACCTAACCAGAACACCTTCGAAGAAGATTTTCCTACCCCTTTTCTGCAGACAAGGAAGAGCACAGGCTCAGAGAGGTGACGTAAGCTGCCCTAGGTCACACAGCCAGGCACCGGGAGACAAGTTCACACGCTCCCCTGGCTCCTCCCAGGCCCGTGGGAGCCCAAACCTGGACAGCAGCACGCTTACCCGCAGTCCTGGAAGTCCTGGCTGGCCTGGTGGCCCCGGGGGCCCTGCAGGTCCGTTCTCCCCAGGTGGTCCTTGGGGGCCCATCAGGCCAGTATGTCCTTTGTGGCCTGGAATTCCAGGGTCCCCAGGCTGGCCCTTCCCCCCAGGAGGTCCTTTGTCACCTTTCATCCCAGGCTCCCCCTGGAGGAAAAGAAGCATGCCAGTGAGTATGCCAGGACCGGGAGGGGAACCACAGCCGGGGCTCCCTGGCCCGCCCTGGCTGGCTATGCAGGCTATGCGAGGCCTGGAGTGAGAAGGTCCCAAACTCATCACGCCCACCACCCTGATCACACGGACGGGGATGAGAGACGAGGAGAGTCCCCACCAAGCCCGCGGTCCTGCAGGCACAGGATGAGAGTGCTGGTTTCTGAGTCCCGATCTTCACTCCAGCACACGGCACAGCTCCTCTGCCTGCCTGGACGGGCTGGCCGCAGCCATGAGACAGATGACGGGGCTCACAGCCATTCCGGCCCGGTTCTGCTCTGTGCCCACTGGAGGGACGTGGCACTGCCCACGGGTCACCTCCTAGTCCTCTCAGTGGTGGCAAGTCCACGAGGTGACCCAGTGGCCTCACACACTACTTGAGCCCTTTCCCATCACTGTCACAGAGCTGGAGGCGCTGGACGGCCCGTTGGGGACCCGGCCGCCTCAGCCCCGCCCGTCGCCCTCACGTGTCTGTGTGTCTGACCAGCAGAGCCTGCTGTCAGGGGGGCTGAAAACCTGGTGGCCACATTAATGGACTGCATTGCAGGGATGCCGCGGACAGAGGGGGACACGAGGAGGAAAAGAAGAGAAGCAAGATGGTGACTGTAAACGGAGCGTGGACCTGGGTGGACCCGGCCACGGGACGGCGGGCTGCGCTCCTCAGACCACCACCCACATAAGGGCTTGAGGAAAATGAAGGAGCCCGATGGCGGCCGTGAGGCACGCCCGGGGTCGGGTGGAGGAGCGGTACACACGGACTGTACACGCGTGCTGACGGCTCTGTGCCAACTGTTCTGGAAAGGACAGAGCGACGTGCAGTGAGGCTCTGGGGCAGACGCCGAGGGCACGTCGCTCAGCGCTCCAACTGCTTCACCATTTTCACTGCTTACCTAAGCGCCTATGTTTCTTTTAACATTTCAACAGCAACTCAAAGAGCAGTGAAATTTAAAAACAATAAAAAAAGAGAGAAAAGAGAAGGACTAGTTTAGCTGGCTCCCAGGAGCGGCGCCCTCCCCGGTGCACTGCACCGTGCGGGTGTTGTGGTTGCTGCGGGCCTCCTGAGCTCAACGCTGCAGAAGTCCTGGTCCCAGCACCCTTGCACGCCAGGCCGTATTGCAAACGCAGCATGGCACTTCCTATTCATTAAACCTCAGTATCGCTTTGTGGTGCTGCTTCAAATGTCCCCAGGAGTACGAAGGAATGGAGAGTCAAAGGGCTCCCTGGCCGTGCTCCATGAAACCACTTAACAGGGGAGCCAAGCTCTCCGTGTATTGATTAGGTGTTAGAGACAAGATTCCTCTTTGTGGTCTGAAGTCCCTGGCTCCCGACCCAAACTGAGCCCATACCCTGCAGCAATAGCTCCCAGGGCGCCTGAGTGACCCTCACAGGGGGGCAGGGGGAACCTCAACTCCCTCAGCCATGCTTCTGTCCCAGCTCCATCACTCTGGAAGCAACAGCCAAAGGACAGAGCAGTCAAAGTCATCGGAGGAGAGCGAGCAGAGCTGCAGAGGGACTGCTCCACTCTCCCTGCCCCAGCCACAGGGAAGCCAGCTCCCCACCTACGCGACTTGCAAGGAAAGCGGAGACACATTCCTTGCAGGGCCATGGACCATGGGCAGGGGCGCGTGATGCGGTGTGACCGTGGACCCTGCACAGGTTGTGGGCCGAAGAGCGGCTGAGAGCCTCCGAAGAGAGGGCGAGACTCCCCACCCCACCCCCACTGACTCTCCAGAGGAAAGGCTTTCTGAGCGGAGCGCCAAAGCGATTCATTATGGGAAAATCTGTTCCCTTGTCACTGAAGGTGACAAATCTGGCTCCTGGCAAATTGACACTTTGGGAGGTGAAGACGTCACACACAGGCACTTGCACGTGGAGAGAGGGGGCCTGTCAGCTTCTCTGAATGTCTGCCTTGAACTGTGTGTGATGATTTGACTTCTTAAAATAAAGCAAACAAACAACAGCAAACCATCGCCTACAAGAATGTCTGAGGGAGGAGGAGCTCTGTGTGTGGGGCGCGAGATGCCCTGGAGAGCAGGCACGGAAGCTGCCAGTGCACGCAGCTGCAGCTGTGGGGCCAGGCTGCTTCCTGACCGCACGCACAGGGGCCAGCCTCTCCTGGTCCCTCCCTGTGCCACTGCGGCGGCTGCACCAGGTGCTCCACCTGGTTGCCTTCCGCTTACCTGTTCTCCTTTGGATCCAGGCTCGCCAGGTTTCCCAGGGGGGCCCTGCAATGATAGCCCAGGAGGGGACGGTCACATCACCAGGGTCGTCCATACTGGCATCTCTGCCTTCTACACGATCCCACGCTGACGATAGGGATCCCCAGAAATCGGCCCGAGAGCTCCTTCCTGAGATGTCTGGACACTGAGGGGTTGTCACTTCCTCCTCTCTTTCCCCCTGCACCGCCACCCTTGACCCTCACCAGCCCCTGCCCGGGGCCCACAGATTCCTCCTCTCCCTCTCCCAGGATGAGCCGCACTCTTGGGAGACCCTGGAGAGTCAGTCTGACCCCTCCTTGCTCCCGCCGCTCTGCTGATTTTCCCGCTGAACTGAGGTGCAGAGCAGGGCGCATCCTGCGTCTCCCAGCCTGGTCCCCGCCTGCGTCTCCCGGCCTCGGCACCCTCTGTGTCTCCAAGCCTCGACTCCCCCTGAGTCTCCTGGCCTTGGCCCCACTGTCTCCCGGACCCGACCCTTGCTGTGTCTCCCGGCCTCAGCTACTCTGCTTCTTGTGTCTCCAAGACGTGCCACTGCTTGTCCAGATAATTTGCTCCCACTTTGTCTTCAAGTCTTCCTCCAGGAAGCCCTCCCAGACCACCCAGCACCTGGAGAAGTAGCCATCTTTTGTGTTTGCATAGCCCTACCCATCCCTGGAGGGAGATCATCTGGGAACAAGGGACACAGCCCTGCAGTCCCCACTGCCAAGACACCTCTCTCCCTCTCAGCCTCTGCTTCCGCCATTCTTTCCATCAGGGATGTCCCCCCCCACCCACTTTGCCCCCAGCCCCTCAGCCACCTCCTTTGCAAGCCCTGGCTCGTCCTTCTGGCCAATGTCCGCGTGGGCTACATTCCCGCCGAGTAGCACCTGACTTTCTCGCCCCCAGGCGTGGTGCCAGGTGAGTTTGTCTGCCCCCCTTGGGGACAACAAGCAGGGCCTGTGTCCATTCAGCTCTGGGCTTCGCCCCTCACTGTGGCCTGGCTCGGCAGGTGCTTGGGGAATACCAGCTACAGGGCATGAGAGCGGGCAAGCACACTCAGCCCAGCAGCTCACGTGCCCCAGGACTGGACAGAGCCGACACGGCTTCAAGAGTAGAAAGTCGATTGCTCTCT